CTTTTGGCGAGGAAGTTTTATTTGGACTTACCCCCTACAATTTTCCTCGGACTGGGAAATTCACTTTGAAAAATTAAAATACTTGGAAATTTTTTGAATAAAAATAAATTTGCAGGAATACCCTCTTTTTTTATTTGCTCATCGGATAGTACTTTTGACAAGGAACAAAAAGTTTTATATGGACTTACCCCCAACTATTTTCCCCGGACTGGGAAATTGACATTAAAAAATTAAAATACTTTAAAATTTTTTAAATAAAACTAATTGTGCAGGGATACCCTCTTTTTTTATTTGCTTCTCAGATAGTACTTTTGGCCAGGAACAAAAAGTTTTATATGGAACTACCCTCTACAATTTTCCCCGGACTGGGAAACTGACTTTGAAAAACTAAAATACTTGAAAAAATTTTTAATATAATTTTGCAGGGATATCCTTTGTAATTTGCTTATCAGATAGTATGTTCGGTGAGGAATAAAAAGTTTCATATGGACTTACCCCCTACAATTTTCCCCGGACTGGGAAGTTGACTTTGGGTCTGGACTGGAAATGGGTTGGGTTGGGTTGAGTTTGGTTTTTAAGGACATTTCCTGAAGGGGTCGGGTTGGCTTGGGTTTTGATTTTCAGGACATTTCCTGAAAGGGTTAGGTTGGGTTGGGTTTTGAAAAAGCAAAAAAAAATTGCAACCCAACCCAACCCAACTTTCTCTTAAAATGCTCTGAAACGTCTAAAAAAGCAAAAAAAAATTGCAACCCAACCCAACCCAACCCAACCCTCTCTTAAAATGCTCTGAAACGTCTAAAAAAGCAAAAAAAAAATTGCAACCCAACCCAACCCAACCCAACCCCCTCTTAAAATGTCCCGAAACGTCCAAAAAAGCAAAAAAAATTTTTAAAAATTTCAAAGAAAAAACAAACAAAAATCGCAACCCAACCCCCTCATAAAATTTTATATACAGGGTGCATGGCGAATTGGAGAGGGTAAGTACATATGAAACTTTTTGATCCATTTCGAAAGGACTATCCGATGGCATGATAAAAAAAGGCGTTATCCAGGAAAAAAAAAATGACCCCCCCCTGGCGAAATGCCCAAAAATTTTTTTTGGATATAATTGAAGGGCGTAAAAAACTAGTAAAAAAGAAAACATAAAAAAGGCGTTATCCAGGAATATAAGGAAGTTATGGCCAAAAAACGAAAAAAATTTATCAGTAAAGGGGGTCTTGGGGGGGGATGGAACCCCCTCGACCACAAAAATCGATTCTCCGTCCTCGAAATATCCTAGTTTCCTATTTTTTAGACGTCGCCCCTGTACCAACCCAACCTATTTCCCAACCCTCTCTTGAAATGCTCTGAAACGTCTAAAAAAAGCAAAAAAAAATTGCAAAGATTTATATGCACTTACCTCCTACAATTTTCCCCGGACTGGGAAATTGACTTTAAAAAATTAAAATACTTGGATTTTTTTGAATAAAAATAAATTTGCAGGAATTCCTTTTTTATTTGCTCATCGGATAATACTTTTGGCGTGGAACAAAAAGTTTCATACGCACTTACCTCCTACAATTTTCCCCGGACTGCGAAATTTACTTTGAAAAACTAAAATACTTAAAAAAAATTTAAATAAAAATAATTTTGCAGAGATACCCTCTTTTTTTATTTGCTCATCGGATAGTACTTTTGGCGAGGAACAAAAAGTTTTATTTGGACTTACCCCCTACAATTTTCCTCGGACTGGGAAATTCACTTTGAAAAATTAAAATACTTTGAAATTTTTGAATAAAATAAATTTGCAGGAATACCCTCTTTTTTTATTTGCTTATCGGATAGTACTTTTGACAAGGAACAAAAAGTTTTATATGGACTTACCCCCAACTATTTTCCCCGGACTGGGAAATTGACATTAAAAAATTAAAATACTTTAAAAATTTTTAAATAAAAATAATTGTGCAGGGATACCCTCTTTTTTTATTTGCTTCTCAGATAGTACTTTTGGCCAGGAACAAAAAGTTTTATATGGAATTACCCTCTACAATTTTCCCCGGACTGGGAAACTGACTTTGAAAAACTAAAATACTTGAAAAAATGTTTAATAAGTACAAATAATTTTGCAGGGATATCCTCCTTTGTAATTTGCTTATCAGATAGTATGTTCGATGAGGAATAAAAAGTTTCATATGGACTTACCCCCTACAATTTTCCCCGGACTGGGAAGTTGACTTTGAAAAACTAAAATACTAAAATTTTTAATAAAAATAATTTTGCAGGGATACCCTTTTTTTATTTGCTCATCGGATAGTACTTTTGGCGAGGAACAAAAAGTTTTATATGTACTTACCTCCTACAATTTTCCCCGGACTGGGAAATTGACTTTGAAAAATGAAAATACTTGGAAATACCCTCTTTTGCTCATCGGATAGTACTTTTGACAAGGAACAAAAAGTTTTATTTAGTCTTACCCCCTACAATTTACCCCGGAAAAATGTAAACCCATCCTGCCATGACGGATAAGTTTCGACAAGCCGTCAGCGCCATTCCTTGATTTGATGCATGGAGGCTATACATGTATAGCCTCCATGATTTGAGGTATAAATAATCAACGTGATTTGACTAAAGCTAAAGAGTGAGCATAGCGTGGAATATCTAGGATTTTTGGCCAGATATCTGGTAACTATCCGGTATCCGGCCGGATAGTAAATTAAGGCCGGATACCGGATAGTTACCGGATATCCGCTTCATCTCTAGTTTTTACCAAATCACCAAAATAAATTAAAATGGCTTTAAATCAATCATAGAACTTCCTCATTATTAGTTTATAGATTAAAAAAGAGATGGCACTTTTGTGTTATAAAATTTAAAAAAAAATAACATATTTTATGTTACATTTCCAGTCAATACTTTTTTACATATACCTATAACTAATTATAGGTATATGCTTTTTAACTCATTATCTAAAATGTATTTAAATTAAATGAAATTAATTGATTAATTAATTTCAATTTTATGTTTTTAAAGAAATTACAATTGTTGGTTATGTAGAAACCATAGAGTATAGTAGAAACCGGTGTATGCAGGCCCGGATTTACCATGCAGGCAGAGTAGGCAGCTGCCTAGGGCGGCAAGAATTGAAGGGCGGCAAATTTTGGCGGAAACTTTAAAAACTTGTTATATTTGTGGGAATTAAATTTCCCGCCTATTTTGTTGGCAGGCTTACCAACATTATAAACTGCATATTTACCGCAATAGTACGATTTACATTTTAAGCCAAAATTAACATTTTCTTTTATTCCGAGCAGTTTAGTTTAACGACCTTATTCAACGCTACGTTTTGTCATGAGTGACAACCGTAAAAGATTCAGCGGCGCTGAGTACCGCAAGCGAGCGGCAGAAAAATCGAAGAAAAATTAAAAAGTCCTAGAGAAAACTCCAAGGTTGATTACATTCTTTAAAAAAACAGATTCCGGATCAGTTGAAAAATAAACTTCGAGAGCTCATAATGATTTAGAAGGTATCGTTGTCATTTATTTATTCGGTTCATTCACCAGCTGACTTATAGATTGGCGTCTTATCAAAATGATCTTAAAATTATGATTGACAGTTGGAAATCAATAAAATGTTTTATAAACTAACAAAGAAAAAATTATTTCAGAAATTTTTACGGATATAATTAAAATTTTCACTTTTCGCTAAAGATGTTGTTTCTTTTTATTTGTGCAGATTCCAACTGTCAGCGTGAAAATGACTCTGACACCGTGTCCGATTCGCATACAGAAACGAAAGAACTTGAAATGACAGTCGACGAATATATTTCACCTAACGAGAACGCGGACAATATTCCTGGCAAAGAAATCTTACAAATAAATGATCCCGCTGATCCCGCAACATGGATTATCAAACTCGGAACGGTTTCGATCAGAACATCAATGCTGATTTTTCCAAAAGGATGTATAATGACTGGACGCGCTACTTTTCGGCTTCTTTCTTTCACCGAACCCTCTTAAATGGCGAAAAAACTCTACGACCGTGGCTTGCCTACTCCGTTGGCAAAGGCAGAGTTTATTGCGTTCCATGCCTTTTATTTGGGTAGAAATCGTCTTTTGTCAACGATGGATTCAACGACTGGAAGAATGCTGAACACTTCACGAAAATTCCAACGGTCATCATGATTGCAGTACTCAATTCAAGAACAGAGCTCAAATCCAGGGAAGAATCGATGCAAATATCACACTTTTACATGAGCAAGAAATCTCTTACTGGCGAAATGTTTTGAAAAGAGTCGTAGCCGTAATAAAAGCTTTAGCCTCACGGGGACTTCCATTCAGAGGTGACGACGAAAAATTCGGTTCACAACATAACGGCAACTACATGATGCTACTAGAATTAATCGCTCAATTCGATCCATTCCTCGCCGAACATATTACCAGATTTGGGAATAAAGGTAGCGGCAGAACAAATTATTTATCAAAAACAATTTCCAATGAGTTTATCGAGCTTATGGAAAAAAAAGTCCTGGACGAAATCGTCAAAGAAATCAAGATAGCCAAATACTACTCGATAATTGTAGACTCTTCTCCTGATATTTCTCATATGGATCAGCTGTCATTCATCATAAGAAAGATAATGGAGTTCCTGAGGAGCGTTTTCTTTAATTTATCGAAAATCCAGGACACAAAGCTGATAATCTTGAAAATGCAATTCTGTCAACTCACGAATCCCTTAGCATCAACATCAACGATGCCGCTGCAAACATGTCTGGGCCCTACACAGGACTTCAAGCGAGAATCAAAGAAACCAACAAATACGCCGATTATACGCCTTGTGCTGCTCATTCTTTGAATTTAGTTGGAAAACATGCGGCAGAAAGTTGTCCGATGGCCGTAACGTATTTTGCAACGATCCAAAACGTGTACAATTTTTTTCTGCATCAACACCCCGCTGGGAAATCTTGACGAAACACTGTGCAAATTCTGAATCTGGACGCATAGTAACTGTAAAGTCACTTTCAGGCACCCGTTGGTCAGCTCAAGATGATGGCGTTCACGCTCTTGAACATCATTTCCCAGCAATCATCTCAGCTTTAGAAGAAATGGAAGATGATATCGTTGAAAAATGTACGACGCGAAACGATTCGACAACAACTTTAATCATTAGAAACTGCGTTTATGCAACAGTTGTGGAGATTCCTGTTATCTTCCATGAATTCTGTGGGTAAAAAATTACAAAATGTCAAGACAACTATTGTTGAGGTAATTGAACTTTTAGAAGGGCTGAACAAAATGATTGGTGATACGCGTAAAGATTTTGACTCGTATGAAGAGAAAGCGCTCGCTATTTCCAAGAACAAAGAATATAAAACGGTTACTATAGCTTATACGCGAAAAAAGACGAGAAAAATAAGATGCGATGAATCTAGAGATGGGGAAGTTGAACTTGTTGGTCGGGAAAACTTCAAAATAAATACCTTCAATGTCATTTTAGACAAAATTTTATCTGAATTACAAAAAAGAGAAAAAGCGTACAAAGTTCTTTATCATAAATTTTCAGTCATTTCAGACATGCATTGTTTGAATGAAAAAGAAATTCGTGAAAAATCTGCTCAATTGATAAATTTCTATGATCAAGATATCGAAGCATCGTTTGCAAATGAAATGATTTTATTTAAAAGTTATTGCGTCAAAAAGAATATGGAAAAAAATTCTCCTATGGATCTGCTCAAATTACTAAGAAGCAATGAGCTCCACACAGTTTTTCCGAATGTTGATATAGCGTACCGAATGCTCGTTTGCACACCCGTATCAAATTGTAGCGCTGAACGATCATTTTCCGTACTGCGGCGAGTGAAAAACTACTTTAGATCAAAACTGGTTGCAGAACGATTAAACCCACTCGCTTTGTTAACTCAGCTTTGCTCATGTCTTTAGATTTTGATTCCATTATCGATGAGTTTGCCATCCGAAAATCGAGACGTAAAAATTTCAACCAATAAGCAATAATTTCTCTATAAAAAACAATCGCATACATAATGGTAATTCTTAAATGATGTTATATACTTCATGATTATAAGGATACTAAATAATAAAATAAAGTATTTGCTCTCAGAAAGGTGCATTTTATTTATTGAAAAACTTCGTACCAAACTTTCCACCATTAAAGAAGTTTCGAGGGGGGCGGCAATTTTTGCAACTGCCTAGGGGCGGCAAATTTCTAAATCCGGGCCTGGGTGTATGATAATAGCGCCAAATCCATAGAGTATAGTCTATTTGACACAAATGTCAAATTTTCTCTACTCAGCTGGATTTTTTTAACGTTTACCGGTTTATAATTTTGAAGTGTGGAATTTTTTTACCAAAAGAAAAGGTTATTATTAACCGGTTATTTTCTAGCCAGTTAATCTGTCTTAGGTTAACTGGTCTTTAGAAATAACCGGTTAACCGTTAAACAGTTTGTTTACAATAACCGCCCATCGCCCAACCGCCCAGTCTTCCATTATATTTAACATAGAAAAAGAATATACAGTGCTTGCAAATCCAAGTCCGACCGCCTTGGAAAGGACGGTTGTTCAATACCCGCGTGAAAAGAATAAGGATAGAATGCCAAACAGAATTTGATTGGTTAGAGTGTCAGGCGTGCGTATTGTAAGCGCCTTCTGTTTGGCGTTCTATCCTTGTTATTTTCACGCGTCCTTCCCAAACCGGTCGGACTTGTGTTTGCAAGCACTGTATTTAAATTTACCGCGATCTCCTGTGTAAACCTGTCTCTGCAGCGACGTCTACTCTATTTTTAAATGGAATGAATATTGCAATTTTCATTCTTTTTCTCCGACTCTCGTCTTGTGTGGTAATCACAGAGTGGTTAAGGATTTTAAAAACGTTTTAAGGTAATAAAATCGAAAAATATTCTTAAAATTTTTAACAATATAGTTGCAATTCTATTTTAATTTACCGCGTTCTCCTGTGTAAACTGGTCTCGCTTTGCAGCGACATCTACAGTAGATGATTTAATCTATTTTTAAATGGAATGAATATTGCAGTTTTCTTTCTTTTTCTCCGACTCTCTCATAGAAAACCCCAAAGGGACTGTTGTCGTGTGTGGTGATCACAGGATTTAAGAAACGTTTTGAGGTAAAAAATCGAAAAATATTCTTGTAATTTTTAGCAAAATGGTTTGCTTGATCTTTTTAGCCAAAAAAGGAAACAAAAATATGAATGATTGCAAAAATAATTGAAGAAAGTACACATGTTGTTGTAAGAGGCAGGATGTGTTCACGCTGAAACCCATAGATAATAAATCATTGGCAAGTTGTGTTCGTACTTATGGACATTAAAATTGAATGATTAAACTACTTATGCTTACCTATTAATAATACAAGATAAGTAAAACAGTGCAAAGCCTTTAGCTTAAAGAATGTAAAATATTATGTCTGTATGTAGACTCTGTACCTATTACCTTATTACCTTCACAGGTGTGCCATAGTGCAGCAATATTCAAATCTAATTGGACAAAAAGTAGTAGTTAAGGTTAGTGTAGCTGCTACTGTAGCATCTACGAACAGGCATGATTATAAATGATTTGCAAATTAAATTTTTAACTGTTCTTAAATCTAGATTTTAACCCTTTTGAATGCTATGTCCACTGGAGTGGACATGTTTTTTAAAACCATTTATATTTTTAAATATCTATTATTTTGTATTATAACTTTTACCATTAAGACAGCTGGACGCTGTAAGCTTGAGGCTTGTACGTAAAAGGTTCATACCTTTTGCATAAAATGCAATGTACCTACAATTATGTTTAGTAAGAGGAAGAAATTGTTTTTTAAAAATTCACAATAAACCGTTTAGTTTGGTAAATATGTTAGAAGTATTTTTTTACCCTATATTATACTTGACCTCTCTAAAGTAACTGTCCATTAATTTAAATTTGGCTCCGAAAGGGTTAATTCATTTTGGAAAAGTGGATAAAATATTTATTTCTTGAATATTAAAAAACAAATTAAATTATTTTTTAGTTAAAATGTTTACTTTGGTAAAATTTTCAAATGGTACAAGTGGTGTTTACCCTTCAAAAAAAATTAAATTGTCAAAAGGAAATTTATGTGTTGTTAACCACAATGGTGGAAAGTTTGAAGCATGTTTGATTAAATCCTTGGGTAAGTTTTAAACTGACGTCTTTCTATTGATATGTTTGTACTTATGTTGAAATTTCTTTCAATATTATGAAATTTATAGACACATATGTCCATAAATTAATTGATACATTAATTAATTGATACATCAATTGAATCTGTGAGATTTAAAACAGTACAAGTCCAAAAATTTAATTTTGACAAGTCATTTCCTAAAATCAATTAATTCAATTTAACTGCTCCTTTTGTATAATACCTATGTAAAACTAAACAATTTTTTCTAAACTTAAGATTTTAAAGAAGCTTTAAAAAATGAGGGTGCAAAAAAAAGCAAATAAAAAACCCAATTGTGACTTGTTATAAGAACGTAACAAACATACTTAATTTTTTTAACACAAACTACATTGTTTTAACATTTTTTTGTATTTTCAACTAAAAACTTATGTTTCAATAGATATAAGACTTATGTTCCAATAGATATAGGACATATAGAACTGTTGTATATAGTTCAAAAATATTTAGATTTTTTTGATACCAGGGCAAAACAATTCCTGATTACCCAGAAATAGTCTGCATATTTAAAATTAGTTTTAGTAAATTTTACTTATAGGTACATTGTTTCCCAAAACTTTGAAACAGGCTATGGTATGGTCTTTGGGAACTTCAAGTAATGCTTGTAAAAGTATTAAAAATTTAATATTTGCAAAATTCTTGGACTTTTAAGTATTTCGGAAATGAAAAGTCAACTTTGTAAAATTTCAAGACAAACAGAATAATTTTATGTTAACAGGCAACACAAAGCCTAGTAAAAAAGTAACTTAATAGTTCATCAAATGTAACTTATTTAAAAACTGTCACACATGACAATAAGTTTACTTGACGTTTAATTGAATTTAATGGTTACAACGTTGTCTAATTATTGTTATTTTCTTTTGACACTGAAACAAAATATTAACCGAATTTATTGAAAAAAAAAATTAATGAATAGTTAACTCAAACATAAACAAAATAAAGAAGTTCACACAAAATTTTTGGACCTTCATAACTCAAAGAAGTTTGCCAATATTACTTTTTTAATATTTTATCATACATCAGTAACTAATGTTGTTGAAGAAAGTACCATCACCTTATTTACAGAGTTTTGGGACATCCAGTATTTTAAGTTATTTTAAGTTATATCATTCTCAGATTAGTCTTTGTTAGGATTAAGGTCAGATTGGCTATTAATTACATATTTAAATTTTGTTTATTTAATTTTTTCTTTTTTGTAGCACTAAAAGAGTTTGTTTTCTTCATTGTTAATTCATTTATTATGATGCAGTGTATTATCACATTATTTTGGAACGCCTGGAACGATTTTATTATTTTTGTATACATAATACAAGCTCTATTTTGGCTAAATAATTTAGCCATGTGGGAAAATTTTAAATTTTAGTTTTTTCAAGACCTGCTAAAGAGGTCGAAATTTAGAGAACGACCATTAGGCAACATTCTTTTTTTAAATGTATTCAGACGTACCTAAAGCCTCTCTATACAAAGTATAAAAATAAGTAATGTTTTTTTAAAATATACGTTTTTTAAAGTCGAATAAATACTTAACCTTTTTTGTATGTATAGTAGATTTATATACAGGGTTGGTCGTTAGTTAAAATTCGCTATGCTGTAACAAACAAATTGAGCTCAAACTTGTATTTGAGGCATGTCTGAATCACCAAAAAAATATATTAAAATCGGTCAACGCGTTGCGGTCTTAAATCGCACATACTGTATATTACAAAATATAAATAAACAAAACTCCTTTATAGGTACAAAACAATAAATAAATAAAATTTAAATATGTTTTTTAATCTGCACTTATCAAATTGTGTAATAGATTAATGTGGCTTAAACGTATTAAATAAACAAAATTTAATTCAAAATAATAATTTACATTTAAAAAAATATTGATTTAAGGCAACCCTGTCTCCCACCCTTCAAAATATTTAGCGCGAAATTTGTCAACCGTTACGGTATTTGCGTGGGTCATTAGGACCCCACTGGAAAGGGTTATCTGCATCTTATATAGTATCTAAAACAACATTTTTTCTTAATTCAAGATTCCAAAGAAGCTTTAAAAAATTATGGTGCAAATAAATATGAAAAAAAAAATGTGACTTGTTATGGGAACGTAACAAATAATGAACAAGGTCTCACTGAGGTTAATATAGATCACTTCACAAAAGATAACTATGGTTGCACTGAAGTTAATATAGATAATTTTGAAAAAGATAACTACAATTCCACTGAGGTTAATGTTAATTTAAAAAGAAATCTTATAATAGTAAATTCTGTTGAGAACAATGATTTTGAGAAAAATGAAATAAACAATAAAAAAGAAAACTATGGCTTTGCTAAGAACAACTCTATAGAACATATTTCTAAAGCAAGGGTTTCAACGGTTAGGATAATTGACTCTGATTTTGAGGATGATGTCACAGATGATCAAGATGAAGACTACTGCCTTAGTGAGGAAAGTGAGGATGAATCACTTGATGATTTGGAGAATGATGTCCCAGCGCGAAATTCTGGAAATTCAATTGGAAAAAGGGTTTTGGATAATATAAACAGAACATGTGAAGTAGCAATAAACAATAAAAATCTATTTGTTAATAAATCCAGAGGCAAAACAGGTGGCAAAAAACAAAGCACTGAGGTTAATATAGATAATTTTGAAAAAGATAACTACAATCCCACTGAGGTTAATGTTAATTTAGGAAAAAATCTCATAATAATAAATCCTGTTCAGGACAATGATTTTGAGGAAAATGAAATAAACAATGAAAAAGAAAACTATGGTCCCACTGAGAACAACTCTATAAAAAACATTTCTAAAGTGGGGGTTTCAAAAGTTGGGATAATTGCTTCTGATTTTGAGGGTGATTGCACTGATGATCAAGATATGGAATACTGCCTTAGTGAGGTAAGTGAGGATGAATTGCTTGATGAATTGGAAAATGATGTGCCAGCGCAAAATTCTGGAAATTCAATTAAAACAAGGGTTTTGGATAATATGAACAGAACATGTGAAGTAGCAATAAACGATGAAAATCTGGTTGTTAATAAATCCAGAGGCAAAAAAGGTGACAAAAAACAAAACTTTTGTGTTTTCTGTCATACAAAACAACAGAAAATATCCAGATATTTAGAGATGGTGCACAAAAATAAAAGTGAAGTACAAAAATTCATGTCTCTGCCCAAAAGATGCGAGGAAAGGAAAATATTACTAGGTGATATACGAAAAAGAGGAAATTTTTTATATAACACAAACAAATGTTACAATGATGGGGAACTTATTGTAAGCCGAAGACCAAACCAAAATTCACAGAATAATGCTAGAGACTACTTGGCCTGTGCAAAATGTAAAGGCTTTTTTTCAAAAAAATCAATTAGAAAGCATTTTAGCCAATGCTCAAATTTAAATAGTGCAAGTTGTAGAAATGTTTTGAAAATGAGCAAAAGAGTTACAGGGAGAATCCACTCAAAAGCAAACGAAGTTGTAAAAAAATTTTTGCTTCCCTCAATTCGAGATGACACAATTGGAAGGATGATAAGGTAATTTTTCTTATAATTTTGTTGTTTCTTGATAGATTTAAGAATTTGATAAGTGTATACAAAAGATAATTTTGGGATTATAAATAACATTGTAAAATCCAGATTAATTAATAAGGGAATTGTACACTAATTGCATGTTTTGCCTATTTTGAGTGCATTCAACTGCATTAATAATTTGTTCGAATAATTGTTCTTGGTTATTAATTTCCACTGCGTAAACCAGTAACTGTTGTTTTAAATGCACACATACAAAATAGTCCAAGGTATTCAAGTCAGCTGATTTCGCAGACCATAGCACCTGACCACGCCGACCAAGATATTCCTGTGGATTTGGTATACAATCGCATGTGTCGCGACGAAGCACCACCGCATGTTGGACGAAATGTTGTCGCTTGGTTAAACTTTAAATAGGAGATGGATTGGTCGGCGTGGTCAGGTGCTATATATAGACTATAGTCTGCGAGATCACCTGACTTAAATACTTTTTGAACATTTGATTTAATTATTTTTGTATTTTTATATTATGTATTACTTAAAGTTAAAAATTGATCACATGCAGAAACTTTAAAGTCTAATATCTCGGAGACAAAGCCTTGTCTCTAAAAATTTTATTTTCCATTTTTTATCAATAATATAAAACTATATATTGCTTAATTTTTCGCCTTGAGTTTTGAATCACCCTGTATATGCAAAATTGTAGTAAATTTTACTTATATTTTTTCCTGCAAAACATTTTATATATCATATGAAACAATTACATGGCGCCTTATAGTACCTAGCAACCTTGTCTTTAGGAATTGACTAGATAGCGAACGTAAAAACTCACAAAACACCATTGAAGTAAAAATGTACAATTAATTGGAAACCACGGATTTCTTGCCTCAAAATAAGTCGATTTGGCCTAATCTATCTATATTTAATATTCCTTCCGCTAAATTTATTTATAAAAATACGAAATTAAAAAGGGTTGAATATGGGTAAGTTGGGTCATATCGACCTATTTTGATGGAAGGAATCTGTAGTCTTCCGATTTATTGAATTTTTTTAATAATGTTGTTTTGTGCGTTTTTGCAGGATGGTAATATTATGAAATAATACTGTATGGTATTCTTAAATAAGGTGTTGGAAGAGTAAATATAGCAACAGCTTACAATTATTTAAAACCACCCAAAATAGCAATAAAACAATTGAAAGTAAAAAGTTATATTCCGAAAACGGTCAAAAGTAAAGTAAAGTAAATTAAAATAATAACTTTTTTGAAACACCTCATATATTTTTGTCAAATTTAATATGGATTTTATTTTTAATCAATTTTATTATTTTAGATTTGATGAACTTATTATTATTTATGCAAATAGAATGTGCCAAAAATATCCAAATACAAGACATCATGAAATGATTCGCCAAAGAATGCGACTATTAGGGAGATTTCTATATGCAGTTAAAATCATAAATAAAGAAATCCATGATTTAGCCTCGGTATTTGATCCAAAGTTCCTTGATATATGTCTTCAAGCAATTCGAAACGAAGCTAAATACGATGCAGATACCGGGATTTTTGAGGTTCCATCTGTGGCGTTTTCACTTGGCACATTGTTAAAACAAACATGCAATTTTCTTATAACTGAATCTATTAAAAATCACGATCCTATAAAAAGGGTAAATGCAGAAGATTTCTTAAAACTTATGGCAGAAGAAATGAATCTTGACATAAATAGGGTAGCATCAGAATCACAAATTCAGTCAAACAGAAATAAAAAGGTGGAGCTTCCACCTATGGAGGATATAAAAAAATTACACAGCTATTTAAATAAAAAACGACAAGATGCTGTAGGTAACTTAAAAAGTATGATTAGTTATGCAAATTGGCTTAACCTGGCAGAATTTACGCTTTCATCCATACAAGTTTTTAACAGACGACGCGCTGGAGAAGTGGAAAGAATATTAATACAAGATTTTAAAAAGTATCAGGGATTAAACCCTGTTGAAAATAAAGACTTGTATAAAACAATGTCAGAAAATGATAGAAAAAGGGCTGGAAAATATGTGCGATTTGCCATAAGAGGAAAGCTCAATAGAACTGTTTCAGTCTTAATAGATGCATCCCAATTGGAATGTTTAAATTTAATGTTAAAGGTCAGAAGTATGGTAGGAATTTGCGAACAAAACCCTTATTTATTTGGGGTTCCAGGCAACAAGCCATTCAAATTTTTAAGGGCTTGCATTTTAATGCGAAAATTCTCAGTAGATTGTGGAGCGCTATATCCTAAAAGATTAAGAGGAACAGAGCTAAGAAAACACATTGCAACTACGTGCATTACTTTAAATTTGGAGGATGAAGAAGTAACTGATCTAGCAAACTACATGGGTCATGCTGAAAAAATACATAAAGAAATCTATAGACAACCTTTGGTGAACAGAGAAATATTAAGAATGTCACAACTTTTAAACAGAGCACAGGGTGATAATAGTGACAATGAAGAAGGTGAAGAATATGGTATAACGAAATTCATAAATAATGACATAAATATGGAACAAGATAATAATGACATAAATATGGAACAAGATAATAATGACATAAATATGAAACGAGATATTGACATAAATAATTTAACTAAAACTTCCAATTTAAGCACTTCAAGAACAAGCCAACGTAAAAGTATATTAAAATCCCATTAAAGGATTAAAACTTTTTAAATAATAATAATTTTTTTGTAGGTTCTCCAATGGGTTATGTTAAAAGAAAAAGGTGGTCATTTACTGAAAAAGAAATAATTCTCAGAGAATTTAGCGATCAAATTGAGAATAAAAAATTGCCATCTTTAAAACAGATACAAAGTGTTATTGTTGCTTATCCAGAGTTACGAAGTAGAACAGCACCCAAGATAAAGACATGGATTCACAACCAATATAAAAAGAAATAAATTGTGTATTTTAATTATTTTATAATAAACCCATAAAAGATTAGCCTTTGTTTTATTTTGTTAAAACATTAAATGCTTCTCATTAGAAAATATTATAAATAACACTGAATGGAAAAGTGTAACGTGTCAAGAGAGGTTTTAAAAATATCAAGACTGGCCACCCTGTATTTGCCAACTATTAAAAGGGGATATTTATCCAGTTGGGTTGTCTCTATTTCGGTTTTTTTTTTAAATGTTTTGCTAAGTCAAAAGAGTTTACCAAAAGTAAGAATCGGTACTATACTTCTAAAATGTAATTTTTAACAATACTAGTTATTTATGTCATTAGGCAAAGAAGTACCTAAGGCTTTTTGTGCTAAGCTTAAAGTTTGAAGACCGACGCGTAGCGGAGGCCTACAATTGAGCGAAGCACAAAGAGACACTTCTTGGCCGAATGGTACAACATTTTATATTCAAAGCACTTAATATAATTCAACATCAAAGCGGCCTGACTTCACTTTTTTAGAATATCATTTATTTATTAGCTAAAGATTACATTAAATTATTATTATTATTATTATTATTGCTTTTAGAAGCAGAAATAGTTTCACAATACCTATAGGTATACCTACATGATTTAAGTAGGAATTGATTTTTGTAAGAAAATTTTTTACTTACCCTCTTGCTATTGAATTCAATTACTTAATTGTTTAATAAATACCTATCTAATTTTAATTTGTTTGATTTTTTATTTAAAAAATGGGTAGTTGTTTTATTATTTATATTTAATTTTACAATAATTTAATGAAAAATATTAAACATTAACGGTAAAACAAACAAATTAGTGCTTATTATAAGTACATTAAAGCAGTTTAAAACGTTAATTTCTTAGAAAAGGATTAATTTGCCAAAACAATACCCCTAGCGACAAAAAATCGAACTAATTACTTGCCTTATAAAATGTTTTATCGGCCTAGGCCATAATAAGCTATTTCCTTATCGAATGTTGACAACAATAAAGGTTAAATTATAGACCGCGTGGAGATAAAAATTATTATTTTGTTGGCAACAAATTGTTGCTGTCTGTCAAACTTTTCTAAGAACTTTGGTTGGCGCCATAGAAAGTGTTATTTCTATGGTTGGCGCTTTACAAAAAGAATATATGAAGGGAGACCTCTGTGTAAGAAGATTATTTTCTTCTTACCTCTGTGCTAAGCAAAGGAAACACTTCTGAAATTTGGCCCTCTGAGGTTCAGACTAAAGTATTTTAAAAATAATTATGGGATAACAGGACCGGCTTCGAGAATTTTACAATAATAAAAATTGTATTCATACAAAATAAACTATTTAAAGATAATAGATTTTATTATGAAAAATAATTTTATAGTAATAATGAACAATTTAAGGTTACATGTCCACCAATGAAAAAATATTCAAAAACGTTAAAAAAAATATTGTACAAAAAACAAATATCTATGAACTATGAATTTTCAACAAAAAAAAGTTTAATATAAATTAACAAATCTAAAAAATAATATTTAAATAGTAGTAGGTATTATATTATACTTAAAGTAAACAAATTAATTTTTAATTAAAATATAACAAAATAGCTTAAACAAAAAGTTCACAATGAAGTTGTTTAAGGTATTTTGAAAAGATAAAATATTGCCTTTAGGCTTAGGCCTAACAAGGTTATAAATAAAAGATAATACTACTTTTATTGCTTGTACCCTAAAATGGATAGGGAAATTGACTTTGAAAAAATAAAATAGGTAGGTAGGTACTAAAATTTGTAGGGATACCCCCTTTTTTATTTGCTCATCAGATAGTAGTTTTGACAAGGGAACAAAAAGTTTCTTATGGACTTACCCCCTACAATTTACCCCGGACTGAGAAATTGACTAAACAAAATAAATTTGTTGGGATTTTTTTTTATTCGCTCATCAGATAGTACTTTTGACAAGAAACAAAAAGTTTTATATGGACTTACCCCCTACAATTTTTCCCGGACTAAGAAATTGACTTTGAAATTTTTGAATAAAAATAAATTTGCAGGAATACCCTCTTTTTTATTTGCTCATCCGATAGTACTTTTGACAAGGAACAAAAAGTTTCATTTGGACTTACCTCCCACAATTTACCCCGGACTGGGAAATTGACTTTGAAAAATTAAAATACTTGAAAATTTTTTGAATAAAAATAAATTTGTAGAAATTTCCCCATTTTTTTAATTTACTCATCGGATAGTACTTTTGACGAGGAACAAAAACTTTCAAATGGACTTACCTCCTAAAATTTACCCCGGTCTGAGAAATTGACTTCTAATTGACCCTCTAACGTTTGACCCCGACTTGATTTTTTTTGGATTTTGGATTTTTTTTCGCATATTTGGGCATTTCAGGGCATTTTCGGAAGGGGTTAGGTTGGGTTGCACTTTTTATTTGCATTTTTGGGTATTTCAGGTTATATTCAAAATGGTTGGGTTCCACTTTTTTTGTTTTTTTGGCATTTTAGGGCATTTCCGACAGGGGTTTGGTTGGATTGGGTTTAATTTGTTTGCATTTTTCGGCATTTCAGGTCATATCTGAATGGGGTCAGGTTGCGTTGGGTTGCATTTTTTTTGAATTATTTTTGCGTTTTTTGGGCATTTCAAGGAAGGGGTTAGGTCGGGTTGGGCTGCATTTTTTCCGCATTTTTTGGCATTTCTGGAAGGGTTTAGGTTGGGTTGGGTTTCATTTTTTAAATTTTTTTTCGCATTTAAGGAAATTTTTGAAAGGAGATATGTTGGGTTGGGTTGATTTTTTTTGAATTTTTGGGCATTTCAGGTCATGTCCGAAAGGGGTTGGGTTGCAAAAATTAAATTAAGACCAAAATTGGATTCGGAGACCTCCCTTTGAAAATAAAATTAACTGGCTTTTATCTGGATCCTATTTGTTCAATATAATATATTATGTATTTGAAACAGGCATTGCACTATTAAACCAGTAAACAAGTTTGAACATATAGAAATCGATATGTACATATAGGTCCAGATATCTATATAGAGGATCGTACATGTAAACCATATAGAAAACAATTTCCATATGAATTGCCATATTTAACCATATAAAGAAACCTATCAGGAAAAACATATAGCACAGAAACCAGATAAAACCATATAAATGACTTTAATTTCATATTTAACTATATAAAGAAACCCATTTTAGGAAATTTTCGAAAGGGGTCAAATCAAAGGGGTTAGGTTGGGTTGGGTTGGGTTGCATTTTTTTTGCTTTTTTGGTATTTTAGGGCATTACCAGAAGGGGTTAGGTTGAGTTGGGTGGCATTTAAAAAAAAATCGTATTTAAGGAATTTTTGGAAGGGGTTAGGTTGGGTTGGGTTGGGTTGCATTTTTTTTTGCCTTTTTTGGTATTTTAGGGCATTACCAGAAGGGGTTAGGTTGAGTTGGGTGGCATTTTAAAAAAAAATTCGCCTTTAAGGAATTTTCGGAAGGGATTGGGTTGGGTTGCATTAAAAAAATTAAATTAGGACCAAAATCAGATTCTATTGAAAATGCTATAAGAAACATATAAAAAATTATCTATCTTTTATCTGGTTCCTATCTGTTTAATATAATATATTATGTTTTTGAAACAGGCATTGCACTATTAAACCAGATAGAAGTTTGTACATATAAAAAACGATATTTACATATAGGTCCGTACATGTAAACCATATAGAAACAATTTCTATATGGATTGCCATATTTAACCATGTAAGAAAACCTATCAGGAAAGACATACCTATAGCACAGAAACCAGATAAATCCATATAAATGACTTTAATTCCATATTTTATCACATCTAGCACAGAAACCAAATAGGTAAATCCATATAAGTTCCTTTAAGTGGTAAATGGAATTCACTATTTAATCATATAGATGTCATAATGTAAACCAGGATGTTTCATATAGGACCTATAAAATCGTATAAAACCGAATTCGTTTCCTTAGTGGTCACTTGGGTATCAGAAAACCAAAACTAGTTTGTATCGATCTAATAATAATTATAATTTACCTTCCTCCTCCCTTTATTACATATATATAATTTTAGTAGATAAACTACCAAAAAACAATTTAATAAAAAAGCTTATTTTTGTATTTAATTTATTAACAAATATGCAGAAAGAAGTTTATTGGGTGTTTTAAAGTTAAATAAATTGATTTCTGCGTCGCAGTGGAGTAAAAACGTTTATTATTGTCTTTAATATCCCCTCAATATTTAACTTTCCAAATGTCCTGGAAGTCACCATTATTCATTTTTAGTATGTCTTGGAAGTAATCAAAAGTCAGTTTTTAGGATATGTCTTGGAAGTCATCAATACTCAGTTCCAAGACGGTCCTGGAAGAAATCATTATACATATGGCACTTCCAAGACCGACCCGGAACACGTCACATGTCTCGGAAACAGTCAATATTCAGTTGTACTTGTCCCGGAACACGTCGACTTACATATATATATATATATATATATATATATATATATATATATATATATGGGACACCCTGTATCTATACAGGGATGGTAAAGGGATCCTAGGCCGTTTAATAAACAAAGATGCATACTATATAAAACGTACGAATAAGTGAGTTAAACGTATAAATAAGAGAGACAAACAACCATTGTTAAACGAATTGGATAACAAAATATTTAATTCCTCTCTGCCATAAGCTTGCAGTACAAGATTTTAAAACTATTAAATCAAAACAATTAAACGTCCGCCAATGTTTTAGTTCCCCTCCTCTAACTGATGTACAATGATTGTACTACAATCCCACTACTAGACAACCTTGACGCGAATTTCGCTATCGAGTCTCGATTTAATTTCAGTATTATTCCGGCCACGCTGTTTACAAAAACGAATACTTATTGAATTTTTTTCCGAAAATCTGGAAAATAAACGATAGTATTCTTGGTATTGTAAAATGTTTAAATAAATAAATTAAAGTTAATGTTACAAAAATGGCATTCTAAAATATTTA